TTTCTCCCATCTCTATATGCTGAGCATGTTGCCATATGGTATGGGACATCAGCTAAGGTCAAATGTCCTCACTGTGTCCCCTCCCAACTCCTTGTGCACCACAGCCTCCTTCCTGGTGAGGTGGGATGAGAAGCAGAAAAGGCCTTGGCTCTGTGCAAGAGCAGAAGCTGCTCAGCAATAACTAAAGCATCCCTGGGTTTTCAATATTGTATCCAGCACAAATCCAAAGCACAACCTCATATCAGCTACTGTGAAAAAACTTATCCCAGACAAACCTAGTACAATCTGTCACCTATTTTCATAAGCAGTGCTGTGATCCTGTCCTGAGAAGCATAAGGTTTAAGTGGGAAGTAAAGCATATATAACTTTGATAACTATGAAAAAAAAATTTATCCTCACACATCACATTTAAATAGGAAGTAAAGCATGTATAACTTTGATAACGATGAAAAAAAATTATCCTCACACATCACATTTCAAGTTTTTCCTCCTCGTTGTTGCAAATGAATGTTTTAAGATTGTTTAAGGAATCACATGCAAAAGTATCAGTAAAAACAGGTTTAATATAAAAACAAAACCAGAAAAAAGTTTGTTGTTAAAATTCACTGTACTGCTTACTAGATTTTTAAAGTACACAGAGAAAAAGCCAACAAAAATCCAAAATAAATCAATCAAAAGCAAAATAACCACAAAACTATCTAGGTGGAAGCTGGGCAGAGGAGAGGAGAGGGGTAGGAGAGGCAGGGGCAGGGGAAGGGTTGAGGGGTACAGAAATGGATAGGAAAAGGTAAAGATAAAAAGGAAGATCATCCTGTTGAGTCACAAGGTTCAGAGTACACCCCCATGCTAAACTGAGCCAAAAATGACCAAAGAGTTTATGCTTAAAGGCCCAACTACGCTTAACAGCACTTAACTGATAGCTTAAGTTAAATAATTTAGCAAAGGATTAATGTAGAATTTACTGTATCACAACAGTAACTTAGTTACAGGCCTGACTTCCTAAAAAGTTAAACTTCTTAGGAATCTATGAGAACAATATTCCTAAGTACATTTGCTATAGCATATTCACACTCATATGCACGCAGATATAAAGAGATTGTATACGTGATGAATTCCCCTCGAATTCAGTGAAATTTGGATGCCTTTGCATCTTCTCAAGGAGCAAAGTGCTGAGCCTTGAGGAGTGGGGGTATCAGCCCAGGAGAGGGAGATGCTGGCCACAGTACGTGCGGTCCAGGAGAGCTCCAAGGGTCTCACTTTGGGCTGGTGTTTATAGGGTCACAAGGGTCTGGCTTTAGTCACAGAAATTTTCCATCCTGGCCACAATTCAGACTGGTAACTGTCTTTGAAAGTTTAATAATGAAAATAATATGTACTTGGATTGCTACCCAGGCATAAAAAATAAGTTTCCAAGGCTGTTTGCTAAAACACAGGAGCTCGTTAGACAGCACAAGTTCCTGGGAGCAGACAGTGCTTCTGATAAGCTCAAGAGAAGCTCAGCCCAGCTGCTGCTCATCAAGGCCAAGGACTAGGAAGTATTTCTCAGATCACAGTGTGGCCTGGGGAGTGGAGTAGATGCACACCATGCTCTTTTAGGGATTATAACAGTTTATTTGAAAGGGTCTTTTATATTTGAAGTGGAGTTTCACAGAAAGCAGTCCAGAGATATTGTGACAGTATGGTAATTGTAATTATTACTGCAATTTTAATAATACAATTCCACATAATGTTTTGCTAATTCTCCTTAATCATTTTCTGAGAAAGAAACTGGCATGGGATAAAAACATTATCTGCATCTTGAGGCCTTTTATAGCCTTTAGCTTTTCTCATAAGAAATTTTTCTTCACTAATACTAATTATTAAAAATAGATAAATGGATGACTTAGACTGAGTTATTAGACATTGGGAAAGTGAGATTTTTTTTTAATTAAGAAAATGTTAATTTTAGTCATTCTCTTTCTAATATATATTCTAATTAATTAATTTGATTAAGACTGATAATGAGCATCAATTTTTATTTTAAGGTGATGCCTTTGTTCTCACTGGTATTCATTTTTTCCATAGAGATGATCCAAAATTCTGTCTCTGATTAAAAAATGTAATTGTAACTTAGTTATTTATTCAACATGTCACTCTTAATTCATGTCACGTTCTAAGTGGAAATTTATAAGTTCTCTACTTTAGAAGTTATAATATTGAAAAATTCATATTGATTTTGGATCTTCTGCTGGGTTTTCCTTAAGATTTTGGTGTACTTTATTGAGTTTGGAAAGTTGATTTGAATATATCTGAAAAAAATCTTAGCATGTTTGGGGATAAATTCTGACCCTACTGATGCTGATGGCTATACTCCAATGAAACATTAGCAGAGCAGGATTTCATTCTTGCTATATACCAAGTTTTGACATTAAGAGGAAGTGAATCACATTCTAGAAGTACTTATTTTCCTTACTGGCTATAAAAGAAATCTACCACAGATGTAGCTGAAGTTAGGTGAGGTGAACTCACTCAAAGTCATAGAGCCTTCTATCTTTTCATTGCATTACAGAAATATGAAATATATATTAAAAAAGCCCTCAGAAATGCTGCTTGTGTTTTTATATTAGCTATGAGCTCAGTTATGATTTATGATTTTTCTTCCAGAAGGTTGACAAATAAAACAAGAGGCTTTCTAATAGAGAAAGCTTAAGAAGGCACAAACTGTGAGCTAACAGTGAGCACACACATAAAACTCTGTAGGGAAATTACAATGCACTACTGTCAGTAGATAGAGAGTACTCTTGTGTCAAATATGGTCATTCTGTTGTTACATAACTTCATATACAAAAGTTTAAAAGGTGGATTTGAAGGGAGATGTTTAAGTTTTGAGGGAATATTCATAATAATATCAGTGTAAAAACTGAGCCTGAAATAAAATGTGAGATTTAGGAACTGAGGACAAGTCTGGTCTCTTAACACTTGGAAGTGGTAGGATGAATTAGCAAACAAGGAACTAGTTTCTTGAGCTGTTTTATGGAACAGCAAATGGAAAGATGCAAAAGGGCAAATATTAGAAATAAAGTGATGAACCAAGAGCTGCATTATTCTGAATATAACAAGTTGTGCTGAATCAGAATAAAAGATGTCATCACATTTAAGACATAAGTCTTACCTTCATATATGGACTGCAAAGGCTGTACTTTATATTTTAGGCATATTATTTGGGTGTAATCTTGAAGATGGGGAGAAAAAGTGGAGCAGAGAATGAAAACAGAGTGATATTTAAATTTATCTAAAAATTTGGAATCAAAGTGCAGATCTGTGAAACAACAGAACAGTGGTGCTGCTAGAATTTGTTTCCTTAGGGACATGAAAATCGGCAAGAGAGAGGAATGGGAGACAATAAATAATTAAATATCAAACAAACAACAAAAAACAGGAGTAGAGAAAGGAGAAGAAACAGGAGAGAGCAGGAAAAAAAGCAAGAAAGATAGAACTGGTGATGGTGTTCCATGAGCTGACAGGTCTGGCAAAATGAAGGTTCAGAATGTGCTCAAAAAATTTGCTAGAAGTGATAATTTCTTAACCACAGGGAGATTCACTGTGGGGAAAGGCAAGGTGAATGTAAAAAAGGGTATTTTAGGTGGTAAATGTTGGAAAGAAAACTACTGAACCTTTGCAATAGGTCAGAAATTAGGAGAGATTTTTTTTAAAAAAATAGAAGTTAAGGCAGAAGAAAGTGGAGGGTCAGAGATGGTGTCCTACATGGAGAAGTCATCTTTAGAAAATTCTAGGTGTGCCCTTGCATCTGATTCATTCTATTACAGATATTAATGTACCTACACAGCAAAATGTTTCATCTTACTACACTGTAAGTGGAAACTTTTTTCCTATGAAAGGAGAAAAAAACATTATTTGGCTTGGCACACACTTTAATAACATTAATCATGGTGAACTCTTTTAGCATTACTGCGAGTATAATATAATCCACCAGGAATTCCACTGTAATTAAACTAATTTCATCCATATTTGTTATTTTATATTGACATTATTTTTTATTTTCTTTCTGATCTGCTTGCAGCATGCTTTACACATTTATCACAAAGGTCAGCATAGTTTAATGTATTCAATATAAAATTTTTAATGGGAAATCAGACAGTTTATAAAATAAAAGGGTATTGTCTCTATTGGCCAGTAATGACATTTCAAACTTGACTATCGTTTATTTCTCATTCATGGCAGTGCAGAATTGTCTCTGTCCCACAGAGACTTGGTGCTTCTATCCAGATTGTACTAGTGCCTACAGAAAATAAGTCTCATCTGAGTCTGGACAAAAAAAACTCAAAGAAAATCCATATTTCTATTTGATATCTATTCAGTCATCTCAGAAGTGAATTGAATTGAAGTATCTGTGTACTACATCTAACATACCTTTAAGAAGACAGACTCTGTCCTTCAGCACTAAGAAAACTGTGTTTCTGTGATTTTAAATCTCATCTCTATGATTGCTGAACAAAAACCATACCTTACACATCAACTTGAATTTCAGTATTGGTTCTGTGTCCACATAAATAAGTTATTTGATCATGGATATGGTTAGGTGAAAGCCTTTTAGGCTAGAAAAACCCTTGCTCTCATATAATGGGGAAAACCCCCATATATATCCAGCATGTTATTGCAAATTAGGTGGCATGGAGGATTACCATTCTAGTTGCAGAGCTCTGGATAAACGGTGACTTACAGCAAAGATTTAGAAAGGTCTGTGAACATTAAATGCAGCTATCAAACAGAGAGAATGTAGCCTTG